TCTGAGGCTGAAGCTAAAAAAAAAAATCAAGGTCTGTGACCGTCATACACTACACGATTTTCTATCAAATCTGTCAACTCCAATCTGCAAGTTGGTTCTGACTTTCCGCAACAAGCGTCAACTTCTCCAGACAGTTAATCGGGGCAAAAATCTGGGCAAAAGTTGTGTAGTGTATTCCAGCCTTGAATCAGAGTGAAATTCCTGCATCTTAATCAGAGCTGTAGATCGAGGTAGGGGCTGAAGACCACAGCACACATGCTCAGACAGGCTCACCTGCACACGCTGGACCAGCAGCAGGGACTGAGTGTCATTCTGGTCCGCTTCCAGGATCAGGTCTGTTAGCTTGTGAATGATGACGTCCAGGGGACCCTGCTCCTCTAACGGCTGACTCAGGTCAAGCTGCAGAGAACGGGAAAGGTGAAAGGTCATCATTTACACTCATGAATCTACAGCAGTGCTGACAAGGTCAAAGGTCAATGATGAGTTTAATACAGATTAACACTACATGTACTGAACAAATTGATGTCTACTGATTTTACTGTCTGTGTTTCCAGAATAATAATAATGCATGGCTGACATATGAATATGTCTGTAGAATTTGAGTTCAAGAAAAACAACATGAAACAAATTGTGTTGAAGTTGAGTCACTTTTGTAGACAGGACTGTAAAACAGCATTAAAGGGACAGTTCACCCAAAAAATTTAAATTCTGTCATCCTTTATTCACCCTTCATTTCAAACCCCAAAACATTTTCATCTAAAAAACACAAATAATATATATTTTTTAATTCTCATCAATTTTGTCCATCCACTGAAAAGCCACACAACTAGAAAAAAGTATAAATACAGAGAACACATCAAATATTGTAAAAGGTGGGTGAGAAAATGACAAATGTTTCATTTTTGGGTGAACGATTCCAATAAAGATTTTTAGAACTTTAATAACATCATGAACGAGTTCCTCAAAATGTGAGAAGATAATGTTGTATAAGCATTTGACCACTTTTACCACCAAAATAGGAAAACTAAATTATAACATTATGTATAATTGTTTTGATATTTATTTATTTTTTGACATTATTTACCAATTAAATATTATATCATACACTATTTTGTATTATTTTAAGTTAAAAAATAATATTTACACTACTGGTTGTGATTCTGGAATTAAAAAACAGAATATATAATGCTATAAACTAACTAATTTAAAGCAGTACTGCTGACTTTGATAACCTTATCAATGTCCACGGTAGACTTGTGCCGGTATTCGGTAATGCGATACATCACGGTAATGAATATGCACAATATTGTTATCCGTGGGCACTTCTAAATACCGTGAATAATTATATATTACAAATTATTCAGAATTTTGAATGCATTTTAAGAATACTTTTCCCATCAACTGGTCCAAATGCACAACACTGCTATATGCTGCGAGAAAGACGCATGCGCACTCTGATGTAAATAAGCGCGGACAAGAAGCACATGGCGGAACATGTGAGGGCAAGTTAGCATGGCTAAAAATATTACGTCATGGCAGTAGTTCATGAATAATGAATGTAAACAATAAATGTGTTATAGTGTCACATATAAATGTACCTTGTAGTTGGCTATTTTAGAATATTATATGATCGTATACCATTATAAAGAATGTGTCTTTTAAGTGTACAAAAAAGTACATAATGTTTCCATTATATTTTTTAATGATTTGATCAAAAAGCCGAATCCTTATTTGAGCTGTTTTCGAATCTCAGAACAAATCCACCCTGTCATTTCTGTATGATTAAACATGAAACAAAATGACTTGGGGCCAGTTTTACTAACAGCTTGCGCCAGCGCAAACCGTCTTTTGGCGTTAAATTTGTACCGTCAGGTTTTACTAAAGACGCGCAGTGATAAATTAGCGGTGAAAAGGCATGGGCACAGTTATTTTTGCGCTTGACCTTATTGAATATGCATTTGTAGGAGTTTCCCTTTCAGATGCAAAATTTATGGGAGAAGAGTATTCAAATGAATCAAGCAACGCGTTTTACTAACGTTTGCGCTCATCAAATTACTGGCATTTGCGCCATTATTTAACGCCCAAAAAAGCATGTCTTAAACTATTTAGCGCTTGAAATGGCTGCAATTATTGTTGATAGGACGAGGCACCGCAGAGAACAGAGAGCACATGGTAGAAGGGAGAGGGTTTTTCCGCACGTATTAATTTATTTTGAATGCCAGAAGAACACATTATCCGAACATATCGTTTGCCAAGACATGTTATTTTTAATTTGCTTCAGGAAATAAAAGACGACTTTGAACCCTCAACTAGGAGTCACGCAATACCAGATACCAGGTCTATCAAAACTTCTAGCAACCCGTAATTTTTGTCCTCCGGTTCTTTTCAAGTGGCTTCTTTATTTCTTTAATCGTTATTTGCGACTACGCTAATTTGCGCTGCGCTTGGTATATTGCGTTGGTCGATATGTAAATGAGATGTGTTCTTTAACTTGGGCATTGTTAGTAAATCACCCGCAGAAATTTCCCCTCCCATCGGCGCCGTTTTGGAATTGCGCTCTCGCACTAATTTACCGTGTTTAGTAAAACTGGCCCTAAAACGCTTAGCGTGACCAGTGCTATAAATACCAGTAAAATGTGATCACATCTTTTATATGATGCTTAATGCTTGTGACCATGATTTCCATTTGTGACCGATTTGTGTGAATCTTTTTGACTCATTCAAAACTGTTCAGTTCAATGAATGAATGAATCAATTCATTCATGTGTGTGTGTGTGTGTGTGTATTTATTTATATATATTTATTATATAAAAAAAAATCAGTATTAGAAAAAAAAAGTAAACCGTTTTTAATAAGAATTGCTTTTAAACTCCAATTTCCCTTTCACTTGGTGACAGATTAAACCAGTGGCATGTTTAAAATCAATTTGCACAATAACATAAAAAAAATTGCAATAGACTATTTATGGCCGAGAGCTGCAGGGACACAATCTATTTCCTTGTATGGTTGAATGTTTAAACCCATCTGACTTTCCAAAGTGGCTTTATATTTAGTTGTTTGTCGCTTCCACTTGTTTCCAGCATGGGCCGTCCCCCGAGTGGTCAGGCATCAATGTTAAGAGCAACTCCAGACTACACAGAGCTCAAATCCCAATGTGCTGATGTGCTGACAAACCTGTTCTGCCTCTGATAATCTCATGCTTACAGTACACGGACAGGCCGTTCCACCACAAGCCCTATGTGGACATTGAAAACACACCCCTGACGGCCTACTATTGTGTGCTTGTCGCTGCAAAGCAAGGTACAACACCACAACTCTCTCTCTCAGACAGTTTGTTGGCTAAACAGCAGCTCCTCCTTCACGCGGAGAAGCTATAAAGTAGCAGGAGACAGATCTCTAATATAGAATATACTACAGAGTTACTCAGTGCATAATACTTCATAAAAGACAGGTGGAGGAAAATCGATACAGTGATATAATCAGATCAGTTCTTACCAGTACAGGTATTTCATCATACATTAATGAATAAATCTCATCTCAACTGTTGCACTGTACAGTGAATTTTACATTTGAGAGCAGAGCTTTGTTAGAAGTCTGTTATAAAAAAGATATTTTAATATCAATATTACACTCATATAATCTCAAAGAGTTGTTTACAACATATTAAATCACAAGTAAAGTGCTTTAACTCTTCTATAACAAAAAATATAAAAATTACTATTATTATCATTATCATTAATAATAATAACTATAAGTTAATTAATATGTAAAAATACAATAAGCAGAGCTTTTGGTAAAGGTCTGTATATATATAGTTTTGCATTCATCAATGCAAAATTAATGCATTCATTGCATTTACAGTTTACTAAAAACATACATATATACATTTATAGCAGCTGTATAATTTAACGTATACAGACCAATTATAGTTTGAAAAATACTAGAAATGTCTAAAACATATGAATGTATTTATTATTTTTATTTGATACAGTATTTTTTTGCTCACCATTGTACAACTGAGGCATAAACTTGGAAAGAAACATGAAATGATCTATTATTATTATTATTACTACTACTACTTCTACATCTAACCATTTTCATTTAAAATAAACGTATTATTTATTTACAATTACATGTGTTTACAATTATTTACAACTATGTTTTTTATTGATAAATATTATTAATAACTGTCCTTCACACCCAAACAGTGTTGCATTAAATAAATTATAATTTGCTAGGGTTGCCAGTTGAATATTTTTTTATTAATTTAACCATATTTCTTCATTTTTTCTTTAAATAGTTTTTTTAGTTGTCTAATTTTCTTCACAGAAACGAGTCACTGGCAAATAATGTGCAGCGCGTGATGTTTGAGTTGATCAATACTTCTCCAATGGTAATATCTTGTGTCATGTTATTCATGATGCCAAGAGCCACTTCCTTTTCTCCATTCATGTCTGTGTAGAGGCACAGGACCAATCAGTTATTCATGATGCTTTACGCCATCCAAGACACAAGTAACAAAACACCAACGTCTGTCTGCCTGCTACTCAAGGCACTACATGACCTGTGACGTCCATCTCTGCTTTAAAATGCCTTTCATAGCTTATTTTCAATTAATGTTACACATCCAGAAACCACAAGCAACCAAACGAAATTTATAAGCAAATAAATAACAAATTTAAATCTATACCTATTCACAGCATGTCAGATTCCTCCTGTCATTACTAAAAAATCCTGAGAGCTGATGGCAGAAATGAGCAGGCAGAGGTCAGAGACTGACCCAGCGCTGCACCGATGACTCATGCCCGCAGATGGCTGCCAGAGGGAGATGTGCAGAATAAAACCCAAAGATGAATTTAGGTGAGCTGTTCGCCCAGTAACGTCCTAAAGCTGTCATTCAGAGTTAAAATCATCAGGACAAGAGATGATTAGAAGCACCAGCAGCTTTGAAAGTAAGTCATTAATGAATAATTTCTGCCTGGGTGAAGCCGATTCGATAGCGATTAAACATTTGGAGCATAACCATAGTGTTTCTTTTTCAAATCTATCGTTATTTGAAATACAAATTAAGATATTTTGAATGAAACAGAAGGCGCTGTTCTACGGCTGGGCGATTTTTCCAATTTTATCGATTAATTTGAATTTAATGTTTTGCCACGATTTTATTTTTTTATAAATCGAGGAATCGCTGAAAAAAATGCAAGAAGATGGGAGTTGAACATCATTTAATAACTAGAGCGCCGCGTTTTTAGAATGCCGTTTCATGCATGAGACGCTGCAAAAGACGCGAATGCAACAGTCAAACGCGTCCATGTTCACATAGAAAAAACAATGGAAAAGCAGCGCAATCGAATAAAAAAAAAACTGTAAAGAACTACTACTGTATGTCTGATATTTAA